TTTTATTATATTTTTCAGTCTTTTCTACCCCTATTTCATATATAATTTTTTAAGATTTGGTTGATTAGACCCAGCTTTATACGCGATCAAAGGTCTATAATTTTGATCGCATATAAAGCTAAGTCTAATCAACCGAATTTAAAAAAATTATATATGAAATAGGGGTAGAAAAAACCAAAGTAAAAATTGTTTTTTGAGTTTTCGATGCTATTGGTTGATTAGACCCAGCTTTATACGCGATCAAAGGTCTATAATTTTGATCGCATATAAAGCTAAGTCTAATCAACCGAATTTAAAAGAATTATATATGAAATAGGAATAGAAAAGACCAAAATAAAAATTGTTTTTTGAGTTTTCGATGCCATTGGTTAATTAGACCCAGCTTTATACGCGATCAAAGGTCCATAATTTTAATCGCATATAAAGCTAAGTCTAATCAACCTAATTTAAAAGAATTATATGTGAAATAGGGGTAGAAAAAACCGAAGTAAAAATTGTTTTTTGAGTTTTCGATGCCAATGTGTTGCTTATATTCGAAAACATCGAATTTAAATTTTTTGAGGATCGGTTTTGAGGATCGGCTATCCATCAAATAACTTAGGGTAGATTGAGGAGAATCGGATTAATATAAGTTTTAAGACAATTTTCTTTAGTATTTTATTTTAAACGAGCAATTTTATCGTGCTAATTAGTAATCCGATTTGCCTCGGTCTACCCTATACATTTTTTAGGCAGAAATCGGTAACCCTTTCACTAATCTTCGCCAAATTCAAAACAACCTCCCTTTAATAATACCTTATATATAAGATTACATGTATGATTTGTACACTTTTTAGGCAAAAATTGGTAACCCCTTCATCGATCATTGCCAAATTCAATACCAATCTATCTTTAATGATACTCTATCCATAAAAAAAAGGTGTGCAAGTAGAAACTTGCACATTGCTTCTTCATAATTTTTAAGTGTGCAAGTAGAAACTTATACATTGCTTCCTCATAGTTTTTTAGTGTGCAAGTAGAAACTTGCACATTGCGCGGCTTTACTCGCGACCTCATGGCTCTCATACGCGTAGCTTTTGCTATTTTGCTATTTAGTCTCTACTCAAAAAGAATAAATACCGGGTCAAAAAATAACATCACAGGAAGATTCGGTCAATTATTTCCCAAAAGCGACTTTCGATATTGATTAATTGATTAATATTTAACATATAAATTTAAGAACTTATTTAGTCTTTACTTAAAAATAATAAGTACCGGGCTAAAAAATAACATCACAGAAAGATTCGATCAATTATTTCCCAAAAAATTGAAAAAATTTTGGATACCGGTTCCCAAAAAAATCGGTATCGAAAAACTATACACTCTATAACACTCCCCGGAAAATTCTACTTCTATTTTATATACTTTTGGTAAAAATTCGGTCAAATGGTTTTCGAGATCATAGCAAACAAAAAAAAGGCTACAAACTCTGTCTTTTTATTATAATAGTAAAAATAATAGTAAAGATAGTATAGAAAAATTTCGTAACCGATTTCCAAAAAGATATCGGTTCCCAAAAAGATTGGTAACAAAAAACTATACAGTTTAGAGCATTCCCCGGGAAATTCTACCCCTGTTTTATATACAATTCTTTAAAATTCGATCAAATATTTCCCGAAAAATTCGAAAAACTTTTGATACCGGTTTCCAAAAAAATCGGTAATGAAAAATTATACACTTTATGGCACTCTCCTGGAATTTCCCAAAAAATTCGAAAAACTTCTGATACCGGTTTCCAAAAAAATCGGTAACAAAAAATTATACACTTTATGGCACTCCCCGGAAAATTCTACCCCTGTTTTATATACAATTCTTTAAAATTTGGTCAATTATTTCTCGAAAAATTAAAAAAAAAACCGGTTTCCAGAAAATCGGTAACAAAAAACTATACACATAATAACACTCCCCGAGAAATTCTATACAAGTTTTTAAAATTCGATCAATTATTTCCCGATAAATTCGAAAAACTTCTGATACCGGTTTCCAAGAAGATCGATAACGAAAAATTATACACTTTATGGCATTTTCCAGGTAATTCTACCCCTATTTTATATACAATTTTTTAAAATTCCGTCAATTATTTCTCAAAAAATTAGAGAAATTAAAAAAACCGGTTTCCAGAAAATCGGTAACAAAAAACTATACACACAGTGACACTCCCCGGCAAATTCTACCCCTATTTCATATACTTTTGGTAAAAATTTGGTCCATTGGTTTCCAAGATCATCGAGGACAAACAATCAAACCGACACACTCTGTCTCTTTATAATAATAGTATAGATTAGATATTGTCGTAGAAATGTTGACGAGTAACTTTTTTGGATTTTTTGAAAGCCTAGAACATAAAAATAACATAGAATGGACTTAAAAACCTTTCAGATGGCTGACAGCATTAGTAAAAAAATGATGATTGACGGAGAGTTAATTAATTAATTTTTAGAAAAATTAGTTAATTACAAGCAGAAGATAAATATTGCAAGACATATTGCTAAACTTAACACTGCGCGGACTCCATGGGTTTTTAAGACACAGTCGACTTTTCATTTATAATTCTCCTCACGGGAATGAGAAAAAAATGCAGTTCCGGCTTATGTAAATAGAAATCATTTTTTGAAACCTTAACGATGATACATGAATTTTTATAGATTTTTTGTAACACAGAAACGCTTTTAAAAATCCTTTGGACTTAAGGGGATGCTGGAGTGACGGCCGAACTTCCTCGATGTCGATAATGTCAACATTTTTAATTTTGTTTTTCCTATATCTGTCTTTGTCTAACGAAATGACATCTGTCCTTGTTCGATTGCTGGGCCATCTTCCGCTACACGCAATACTACTCATCATATCAACCTGCATGTGCTTTTGCATATACATATAAAAATTGGACACATAACTTTTTTTCTAAACTTTTATCTTATCTAATTGCACGATATTGTTCTTAAATGTTTTTTCTAAGGGTGCTGTAATCTCATTTTGTATATATAAACTGCAGTATTTTTGTATTAAGCAAATATTGTCGTCAGTGACAGCTCTATGTGCAGAAATTTTTTTTTATATTTGATGTAAAATCGATTGCAGCACTCTCCGTTTCTGTGTGTACTTTAATTCTGTAAAAAAGTTTTTTCAATTTGGTAAAGCCAATTCAAAGTTTATGTGTTCAAAAAAATGTCTGTAATTACTGCCACTACAGCATCCCCTTAAAAGTCTCAAGGTTTGCCAGGTGAGTGCTCCAAAAACACGGTGTCTGTGCAGTGTTAAAAACGTAAAAATATTTCTAAAATAATACTCTATTCATAACAATAACTTGTAAAAAAATGTCGTATGAATCTTATTCAAATTTTAATAATATAATTTCTGCTTAGATATAATCTATTTAAAAATCGGTTACTTATACGATTATATTTTTATATTTATTAAGATACATATTTTTGTACATTATTGATATGTTCACCATTATTTTGCAGGATATGCGCGTATTTCTTGACGGAGCAAAGAATGGAGCCATCGTAATATCGTTGGGAACAATTGTAAACTGGAAAAATGTCGGCCTAGACAAGATTAAAGCCGTTATACTTGCTCTGTCGAAACTGAAACAACGAGTGCTGTGGAAGCTAGATATTGAAGTGCCATTTGAAATACCGGACAATGTAATGATTGTGAAATGGATGCCTCAAAGCGAAGTTTTATGTACGTTTTCCAATTTATAGAAAAATACGAGAAACATGCAGAGATATACAGGGTGTCCGGTTCTACTATAGTAGAAGGGCGCGGCGAGAAGAGATGTCCCATTTCCAAATATTTGCAAATTTCGCAAAATGGTAGAGGACTTTTCTACTCGGTTTAACTTATCACTCTACTTGCGTACAAAAGGTCCGGCGATTATTACCGGACCCTCCGTATATATTTTTGTAACATTTGTTTAATTGACTATATTATATATATATTGCTTTATATTCTTTTATCAACGTAAAACATTCTTTTAAATAAGTTTTAGCTCTCTTTTGTTTTATTTCATACTTTTTCGCAACTATTATATTGTAAACAAAAAAAATTTTAGTTTTTAATTATTACAAATATATAAATATATATTATAATTTTTTTATAATAAGAGAATAGTTATTATTACCATATAAAATTTGTTTTTTGTTTCAAAATTATGTACAGGCAACAAAATTGTTAATTGAAAAGTTTATCACCATATTAGTTTAATCGGGACATATACGGCTAACAAAATATTTGAGAGTTAATATTTATTATAATATATTATATAAATTTTATTGCAACACATATATATTGCGCAATATATATGTTGCAATAAAATTTATTAAATTTATTTATTAAAAATTTATAAATATGTGAAAGCAGCAACTTATCCTACATATAACATAATTCATTTAAAATTGATTGACCTATGAACGATATCATTTGTTAATTTTTTTAATTTTTATTTATTTCTATTTATTATATATTTTTTTATATAAAAATCCTGACCGTCTTCTAACGTACATTTTTTTTTAAATCACGTACATTTTTTTAAACAAAAATTGGAAACCTCTTTATTATTAACATGTTTCTTTAGTTTATATTAATTTATACTTATTTTTATTTATTAGACAGACAGACAAACAGTCGGTTTTTATATTATAATATGATTTTTTTTATATAAAAAGCATTTTTTTTGTCTTTGCAGCTTCCTCCATTTCATAATTTAGTGCTGTTTTTAGCAGGAGATCATCCTGATCGTCTTTTAACGTACATTTTTTTTTAAATCACGTACATTTTTTAAAACAAAAATCGGAAACCTTTTTATATTATTAGCAATTTTTTTAATTCTATTTTATATATAATTCTTTACGATTCGGTCAATTAAATCCCGAAAAATTGGAAAAATTTCTGATACCGGCTTCCAAAAAGATCGGTAACGAAAAATTATACACATCATGGCACTCCCCGAAAAATTCTACCCCTGTTTCATATACTTTTGGTAAAAATTCGGTCCATTAACGAATAAGTAATTCGCAGACAGACGGACGGACAGACAGACAAACAATCGGGTTTTATATTATAGTTCTAGCTGATTACCCGGGCTTCGCCCCGGAGGACATATGTAATAAGACACGTAAATAGTCTCTCTCTCTCTCTCTCTCTCTCTCTCTCTCTCTCTCTCT